TTTCAGTACTGGCCCCGACTTGGTGGAACGCTCTGTCACAAGAGACTAGGACCCTGCGGGACTTGACATCTTTCCGCAGGGCCTGCAAGACAGAGCTGTTCCAACTGGCCTTTAGTTTGGACTCAGTCTGACCATTATGTTTTCCTCCCCTTATGGTTTTGATCTATGGGCTACTTTTAAAATGAGGCTGCATTTTAAATTGGGTTTTTTCCTATTATGTTTTTACTGTAATTTTACTGGTATTAGCTGCCCTGAGCCCGGCTCTGGCCGGGGAGAGCGGGGTATAAATAAAATTTATTATTATTATTATTATTATTACCACTGGCCCTAAAAGATCTACATCGGCTCCCAGTATGTTTCCAAGCACAATTCAAAGTGTTGGTGCTGACCTTTAAAGCCCTCAGTGGCTTTGGCTTTGTATACCCGAAAGAGTGTCTCCACTCCCATCATCCAGCCCGGACACTGAGGTCCAGCTTTGAGGGCCTTCTGGTGGTTCCCTCACTGCGAGAAGTGAAGTGGCAAGGAACCAAGCAGAGGACCTTCTCAGTTTGTGGCACTCATATTGTGGCATGCCCTCCTATCGGCTGTCAAACAAATAAATAACTTTATGACTTTTAGAAGACATCTGAAGGCAGCACTGTACAAGGAGGTTTAAATGTCAGCTGCTAGCTAGGCTCGATGAGGAGCCCTCACTCATGCAATTGTATTCAGCCAGTCCTTTCCTCAACTTGTGTTTGAGTCATCTCCCAGCTTGTTTCCTCGACCTAAGATCGAGTGGTACCTCGGGTTAAGTACTTAATTCATTCCGGAGGTCCGTTCTTAACCTGAAACTGTTCTCAACCTGAAGCACCACTTTAGCTAATGGGGCCTCCTGCTGCTGCCACACCACAGGAGCACGATTTCTGTTCTCATCCTGAAGCAAAGTTCTTAACCCGAGGTACTATTTCTGGGTTAGTGGAGTCTGTAACCTGAAGAGTATGTAACCTGAGGTACCACTGTATACTAAGGAGCCAAATAGGCTCCACGAAGTAGGAGAGGGTGCTCTGGGGAGATCATTTCAACATCTTGAGTCTTTAGGATGTTGGCCAGGCCTTCAACAGGAGCGCCAGTCATATCAGCCGGAAAATCCCCCAGAGCTGTCTGAAAACCCACTGGACCCATCTGCAAAGAGGGAAAGGTGCTGAAAGCCGGAATCACAACAGGAAATGATCTGACCATGCCAAGGGGCTGATTTGAATATCCCCCACTTTCAGACCACCCTCTTCCTGCCCAGTTGAGAAAACGAAGTCCGAAGTGTGGACTGCCACATCCATTGGGCCAGTGACATGTTGGGACAGCCCCACGGTCATCAGGGCAGCTACAAAGCCCTCAGCCACCACAGAAGTGGTTCTCAGTGTTTATATATAACAACACAAAAGCTTATTTTGGCATCAAGAAGCCTATAAATTAGTAATAAATATCATCACCACAATCATTTCATGCAAAAACACCTATAAAAGTCAAACATGAATAAGCTACCACGGACCAAGGTTTCCTGTCACCACATGCTGCTGTTAAAAGCACTAAATAAATTGACTCATTGTCAGGTTCAGGCCTTTATAATGCAAGCAAAATCAATTTCTTTAAAGAGCCGAGCCGAGTCTGAAACTCTTAACAAGAACCTTCAGCTTTAAATTGGAGGGATAGCAGAATTGCAAGCACCCCAATTCATCCACCTGCACCCCGAAGCAACTGAAGGCAGACGTGAAATTCATCAAAGTTGCAACAGATGGGTTGGGCTTCCCCTGGTGATGGCATAGTGAATCCCTTGCTGTTCGTGTTTCGTTAGCTGTTCATTGGAAGCTGCCTTGCATTGGGAACAGGCTGTAGCTCAGCAGTAGAGCATCTCAGTCGCAGGTTCAATCCCTGGCAACTCCAAGATAGGGCTGGGGAAAGTTTCCTGCTCTGGAAGCTGCTAAGAGTCCCCCAAAAAACCTTACCGCCATGGTACGCCCTAATACCATATACTCTTTTAAAAAAACGTGTGCCCCCCCCTCAAATAGCTGAATTTTATGGTTAATGGGGTGGGGAAAAGTTTCTGCATGGTCCTTAAAAAATAGTATTTTTTCCAACTGTTGTGCAGGATGCAGGGAGGGCGGGATCAAGAAACTTATTCTGGGGACTGGGCTTCTCCGTTTGCGAGTTACAATCATGTAAGAGCAGTGAGATTTGGCAATCAAAGTGCATCTCACTCTGCTGTGCCAAAAGGAATCATTACTATTGAGCTGACAGCACTGCAGCCAAAGAGCACTTCCCTAATGATGCCAGCATTTTGATGACAAATCAAGCTATTTAAATGGCTCTGGCAAGCACATTCTTTATAGCAAGGTATCTAGGTAACCGTCCCCGATGCAGCTTCAGGGGTAGGAGGGAGAAGGGAATGGTGAGCTTCTTCATCTAGGTGAAAAATTAATTCCAAGGAGATTTATTGTTGCCTGCCTGCAGAGGCCAAGTATGAAAAGCAAATAAATTTGTGTGTGTTAATTAAACATGTACTTCTAAGTGTAGCTCCGCAAGAAGAGTGTAATCAATTATAAGATTATCCTGCTAGGTTACATTCAAAAGCATATGGAAGTTGCATAGAAGCATGAGAAGTTGCTCAGAAAGGTTTAATCATCAATCCATCTTCCCAGGGAACTCTGGGAACTGTAGTCCTGAGAGGGGAAAGGGGGGGTCTCCTAACCACCCTCAGCACCCTTGACAAACTACAGCTCCCAGAATTCTCTGGGGGAAGCCATGACTGTTTACGGTGGTATGATACTGCTTTAAATATATAGTGCAGATGGGCTCATAGAGAGGTCAAAGCCCTATATAAGTTTAAGAGGCTCTGTACCTTGAACCACATCTCACACGCCACCTATTTGACCGCTTATGGGCACCTGGTCTGATAAAATTTAGGTAAAGTTACCTCCCCCAAAGAATTCTGGGAATGGTAGTTTCCCCACTTGCAGAGCTACAGTTCCCAGTGCCCTTAACAAACTACAGTTCCCATGATTCCTTGGGGGAAGTTATATGCTTTAAATGTATGGTGAAGAAGCAGGCTTTGTAATTGTTTTTTGTATTCAGAGGCCTTGGACAGTCCTAAACTGTACCTTATTGTGTGCACGGGTAGGCAAACTAAGGCCCGGGGGCCGAATCCGGCCCAATTGCTTTCTAAATCTGCCCCGTGGATGGTCCAGGAATCAGCGTGTTTTTACATGAGTAGAATGTGTCCTTTTATTTAAAATGCATCTCTAGGTTATTTGTGGGGCATAGGAATTCGTTCTTTTTTCCTTCTTCTTCAAAATATAGTCCAGCCCCCCACAAGGTCTGAGGGACAGTGGACCGGCCCCTTACTGAAAAAGTTTGCTGATCCCTGGGCTTGTGCATTAATCCAGCACTGGCGGCAGTGCTTGGTTCCAAAAATACATGGGTCGACCGACCACTTTGCTAAGGCTAAGCAGGTCTAGTTCTGGTCAATCTCTGGATGGGAGACTGCCTACGAAACATATACGCACCTCCCTGTGACAGAAGGAAGGTGGAATATAAGCAAAATGTTATTTTCTTGCACATCCAACCTGTACAAAACCCTCCTGGGGGGACCTCCTCACAATCAGAGCAATATGCTTGAATCGCTGGAGAGATGCCAGGGAAGGGGTGGGGGACGGGGTAACCCCTCTCCCAAGAAAGACATTTTGTATGGCTTCAACAGAGCTTTTCAGCAGTGAGCTTATTAAATTCCAGGCTCCTATTGATGGTTTCATCTGCTCACACAATGATGCTAGTATTTGAAAATGAGGGCCGAAGCAAGGGCGGGAAAACAACAACCCCAACCCAACATTGCTTAGCTCCGCAAAACAAAACAAAACGGCAAAAACAGCCCCTGGTACGTGCTTAAAGGTTTTGGCAGTCGCAATGTCCCTTAATTGAGACGTAACGATCCTGCTGTTTAATGAAACATCAGCGCCTTTCAACCTTTGGCCTAGCATGACTCACGTTGTGTGTGAATGCACAGAAGAGCTAATTTAATGCAGCTGCAGGAACAAACCTCTTGTCTATGACACTGATTCTGTATCATCATGACCATCGCCTTTCCTCCATGGAGCTGATGGAGGCATACACAGCTTTTCCCATAATTTAATTTTCACAACAACCCTGTGAGGTCGTTTGGGTTGAGGAACACAGGAAACTGCTTTATGCAAAGTCAGGTCCTTTGTCCATTGAGCTCAGTATCATCCACACTGGCTGGCAGCAGCATTCCAGGATTCCAGCAGCCTCTCCCAGTGTTCAGAATTAGTCGGGCGCCGGGCACATTTTGTGACCAGGGATTGGCAGATCGCGAGCAGCTAGCTCAGTCAGTAGAGAACGAGGCTCCTAAAACTCACGGTTCTGAGTTCGAGACCCATGCCGGGCAAACTATTCCTGCACTGCAGGGAGTTGGACTCTACAGTTTTATGATTGTACAATGTCTTGGCGCCTCGTGTGGCAACTGAGACTCAAGAAGAAAATGGCCGCCGCTGACCACTGAGGGCATGGAACTGCACGCAAGTTAGATCGCTGGCTGCTCCCTTCTGTGTGACGCTTTGCCTCTTCTCGTCCACGCCAAACATGCAAGTTCAAATCTGGCAAAATACTTTATATAACACACACGTATACACTCAGATAACAATATCACATTTTAAAATAAGAGTTTTGAAAAAAATCAATAGAAAGTGTGACTGAATGAGATGGGGGTGTGACTAGACATTCTGTTGTTGTGCCTGCAACCTAGGTGCCAGGAGCCATGTGGTGAATAGTTTTTCTGTCCCAGTTTTGAACACTAGTAATAAATAATAATAATAATAATAATAATTTATTTATACCCCGCCCATCTGGATGGGTTTCCCCAGCCACTCTGGGCAGCTTCCAATAGAACACTAACATACAATAACCTGTTAAACTTTAAAAGCTTCCCTAAACAGGGCTGCCTTCAGACTTTCTCCCAGCCTGACCTGGGGATTGAACCTGGAACCTTCTGCATGCAAAGCAAATGTTCTACCACTGAGCTATATGGCTCTTCCTCAAAGGGACAACAACCTTCACAGCTGAATGCAGATTGGCTACTAGTGTAGATTTGGGAACGAGGCATATCTCAAGGGGCGGGGAGGGGTCTTAGAAATTTGAATCTGGTATATCAGGGCTAGGAAACCTGTGGCCCTGCAGATCTTGTTGCCTGCAATTCCCATCATCCCTGATCACTGGTCATGCTGGCTGCGGCTGACGAGAGCTGGAGTCCAGCAACATCTGGAAGCCAAATGTTCAAGGCTCTGGGGCAAAAAAAAGGGGGGGGTCACTGCATTTTTCCTGTAATTTGTGGATTCGCTCTTCTCCCACCCAGTTTCCAGAAGAGAGAAATGTTCAAAACTCAACTAAAAATGAGAGAAGATGGAGAAGCGGTGGGCAAATAGGTCCTCGACAGTTCTGACCCCTCCAGCTTCTATTCCTCTGCATTTCACTTCCAAGGCATATCAATGAATCTTTCCACAAAGGATCCCACTTATTAACGATGGAGCGGTGAAAGATCACCCCAAGACAGATGGTGGGTTCAGTCATGGCCCAATGATCAAAATTCTTCAACAACAGACCTAAAGTCTTCCTGCTCCCCCTTGCATTCCTCATCAGCTTATAATAGCCTCCAGAAACAGAGAGAGAGAGAGAGAGAGAGAGAGAGAGAGAGAGAGAGAGAGATCCATTTTGGCAATTTACAGACCAGCCGGGCACTTCTGCCCTTGACACCCGCAAGGGACAGCCAGCCAGGCATCTTTGCCTGCCAGACGAATGGCATCCATCTGCCCGGATGGCACTGAGCCCTCACACGAGTTGTCAGACAACATCCTGTGTGCCAGAATGGCAGGGGTTTGAGCAGGCAGCTTGGCCACACTGCAAGAACTTTCCTTTCTGCATGGATTCCCTCTTCTCCTGGGCAGCACCAACGCTAGATCCTTTCCTGGCTCCCTCTTGCACGGTAATAGCGGTTCCGGCTTCGCTATCTCAGTAAGCAACTCTTTATCTCCCTTGTAACCACAGAGAGTGGAGGCTGCATTGCAGGCTGCAGCATGGTTCAGGGGACAATGTGGTGGAGTGGTTAGAGCAGGGAAGGGGAACCTCTGGGTCTCATCGGACTCCAATTCCTATCAGGCCCATGCTCAGGAATGATGGGAGCAACATCTGAAAGGCCACCAGTTCCCCACCGGTGGGTTAGAGTGTTGGACCAGGACCTGGCAGAGCAGGGTTCGAATCCCCACTCATCCATAAAGCTCACCTTGGGCCAGTCACTGTCTCTCAGCCTTGCGGTGAGAATAAAAAATGGGGAATCAGAAGGCCAGCTGGAGCTACTTGGAAGAAAGGTACGGCCATAAGAAGAGCCCTGCTGGATCAGACCTGTGGCCCATTTAGCATCCTGGTCTCACAATGGCCAAGCAGAGGCTCCAATGAGAAGCCCATAAGCAGGTCCCAAGCAGAAGATCACTCCCTGCCTCCTGAGCTTTCCAGCATTACTGTCTCTGGATGTGGAGGCAGAATATAGCCATCCTGGCTAGTAGCCAAGGTGTAATACAAATGCAATAATAAACAGATTAAATAAATTACACCAGTCCAGGCCTCCTGAGCCTGCTGCCTGCCACATGGTTCAGACCACACCTCCCATCAGGCCCAGCGACTACGGCCAATGGTGAGGGAATGATGGGGTCTGTATTCCAAAACATCTGGAGCACCAGGCTACTGCACTAGCTAGGCCAGCGTTTCCCAAACTTGGGTCTCCAGCTGTTTTTTTGGACTACAACTCCCATCATCCTTAGCTAGCAGGACCAGTGGTCAGGGATGATGGGAACTGTAGTCCAAAAACAGCTGGAAACTCAAGTTTGGGAAACACTGAGTTAGGCCTTTGGTTTGATCCAACAGGTTCGCCCCATGTCCTTTTAATTGAGATGAGGAAGGTTTCTTTTCCTTGAAAACATTATTCCGTAAAGTTTAGCCAAGTTAGCTTCCCTTAATGCTAGGACAACACGAGCAGCACAGCTTTCTTTAGTCCTGTTAGAACTAAAGAATTGCCAAACAGTCCTAGAGCATCGGTCTACAACACCCTGTAATTTCTGCCCGAGCTTTTTCCTCAGCAAAGCTCAGCCACAATTGCAGGGTGAGCATTATGGTACAAGGAAGCTGGAGCAAACATCGTCTTCTCCTTCTCCTCTGGCTTCTTGATCCTCAACAGTACCCCGCTAGCCAAAACGCTTTCTTCACTACATAGGGGTGTGGATTGTTTGCACCCGGCCAGTGCTCTGAGGACTGCAGCCTAGTCATTCAGCCTTTAGCAAGGCTTGAACCCAGGGATCCGGAAACCTCTATATTGGTTTTGCCGTCTCCGCAAGAGTTCCTGCTGTTTATATATTTACCTTTGATTTTTAGACATGTCCACAGGCAGGAAGCTGAGGGTTACTAAATAGGCCCTATGGAAAGGATGAGCTGGTCAGAGGCCTTAAGGGTGGGGGTGGAGAGGTGGGATTGACAGTAAATACTGACTGCCAGAGCCAAAGCTGCCCACTTCCGTGAACTCAGAGCTGGACCTTTACCTAGGCCTGACCTGGTGTGGGCAGGACTTGGAAAAGAAACAGGACAACACAGTAAAAATGTGCTTTAGTTCTTTTTTCTTTTTTTTTAAAGAGAGGGTGAGAAGCAGTTTTATAGTAAACACATCCGCATAACAGGAAGCAACAAGCTCGATTTCGATGGGGAAGAGGGGCTGTTATTGTTTTCCCCAAATTTCTGTGAAGAACTTAAGAAAAGCCTTGATGGCTCCACACCAAAGGCCTAGCTACTCCAGCATCTTTGTTCTCACAAGCCACATTCACACCACATTCACACTACTTAACCTCAGGTTAAGTACTTAATTCTTTCCGGAGGTCCGTTCTTAACCTGAAACTGTTCTTAACCTGAAGCACCACTTTAGCTAATGGGGCCTCCTGCTGCCACCGCGCCACCAGAGCACGATTTCTGTTCTCATCCTGAAGCAAAGTTCTTAATCCGAGGTACTATTTCTGGGTTAGGGGAGTCTGTAACCTGAAGCGTATGTAACCCGAGGTACCACTGTACACATTTAAAGCTGTGTCCCCAAAGAATCATGGGAACTGTAGTTTGTTAAGGATGTTGGGTGTTGTTAGGAGGTGCCTATTCCCGTCACAGAGCTACGGTTCCTAGAGTGGTTTAAAATCAATCCCTCTTCAAGGGAACTCTGGAAATTGTAGCCCTGTGGAACAAGACATGCCTTTGTTCCTCTTGGTGCTCTCCCAGGCTGGTGATATGTGGTAGAAGATACCCAGACCCGGCTCCCCATCTGGTGCCACTGCAGTCCCCGAATCTGTGTCCAGGTCACTGCTGCACACAGGAGCCATGACAGCAGCTCCCCTTGCAAGCATGCGCACACCCTGCGTTTGAACCACAGGCTGGATTGTTCTGCTAAATTGCAAGCATGCTTAGCAAGGAATGTCGGGGGATTCTGGTGAAAACGGAAATGGGAATGGATAATGCCAATATCTGCTTGTTCATCCCATGTCCAGAGCAGAAATCAATCCAGTGAATATAATCGGTATTTGCTGTTATTGTTGTTTTTAGTCTGCAAACAATATGCAGCCACCACTCCCTCCAATTTCCACTTTGTCGCTTTTTCATGGAAATGAGTGGTGTGGAATAACAACACGGCAAGACAACTTACGCAATTAATTGCGCAAATTACGTAAGTTGTGTATTTTCGCCATGACGAAACAAATAGCATGATTCAGGGCAGGAGGCGAATTGAAGGGAGACAGTGCTGTACATGATGAATACAGGGCAGAATAGAAAACAGTGATGCTTCTCCGTCAAAATATATGCTCACAACAGAGAGAGAGAGAGAGAGAGAGAGAGAGAGGCATTTCCTGTTTCCTATCTTCAGACACAAGGCGCTTCTCAGTTCTAAACATGCACGGCAGTCCTGAATGTTTTGATTATCAGCTTCTGCCCTTCAGATCAGCTTGTCGCATCACAAATCTGGAATATCAGCCTCTTGTGCACAGAAGGATTGCAACAGCGACATCCTCATGGGAAATTGCTTTAAGCTGTTTCTCCAGCCAGAGTGGCATTCTCTGCGCATCCACCGTGGCTCCTTCAGCGGAGCGTGTCACAGAGCAATCCCAGTGTTTTTAGAATCACGGTTACTGAACGCATCTTGCATCTAGGAGGATGCTGGAGTGAAGGTGGAGAGCCGCTGCAATTTGAATTAATTGCTACGTTGACTCTGGAGCGGTGTGTTGATGCTGGAAGCCAAGTGTGACGAATTAATTCCGCCTTCCCCCACCCCTATCCCCGGAGTCAGAAATGCATACAATGTTATTTTATTTTCCTTTTCAAATGAATCGTTTTCAAAGGGTTTGGGATTCTTACAGGCTGATGTTAGGCTCCATCTAAGATGTCTGCCACTTAACACCAGCCATCGCCCATGCAAGCTGGCAGGGGAACAAAGCAGGCATTTCGTGGCAAACCCAGATCTCCAAAACAAGGTCTGCACAAAGTATTTCAGTTATAGAGGCATGCTGGTGGTGAACAGTTTAAAACAACCTGATGAACACCTCTAAATTCCTTAAACCATCACCTACTGTCAAAATGATTAATTTCAGGGTGGCCAGGGACACGTTTTTCAGCCTTCAAATTCCTGGGTGAAAAGAGATGTTTTCAAGTTTATTCTAAAAGTTAACAATGAAGGAGACTGACACATCTCACTAGGAAGGCATCTGTAAGTTGGGAACTACCATTGAGAAGGTCCTATCACAGGTGACTGTTCCCCCCCTCCAAATCTCAGCTGTCTATGACGATTAACAAGAACCATATAGCCTTAAGTATTTGGTGTCTGAGCATTCTTGATTTCCTCTTCCCTCTCCATTCCCCTTTCCTCTTGTGTCATGCCTGCAAGGGTTATGCTGGTTTGATTGATCTGCAAGCTGCTGTGGGTCATCTTTTGGGTGATGAATGAGGTACAAATGTTAGGA